CTAAGGCTTGTGCTGGCTGTGGCTTGAGCTGCGGCTTGTCACTGGAAGTCACCTTGTTGTTGGCAGGAGTTGATGTGGTTTGCTGCATAGATGTACTTGTGTTGTAGATTTGAAGAGGCTTAGGCATATGGAGCTGAGAGGTCTCTGTGTTGAGAGTCAGAACAGTGTTGTTAGTAGGAGGTACAGGAGATGACTCTGTATCTTCGCAAATGTTATGCTTTAATACGTATTCACTGGTGCGTTCAACTGGATCTTCCAGTTCTGCTGGGATAAGGCAGTAATTAGTACTTTGTCCCATTGCTTGTTCAAGGTCTGAGCCTTGCTAGGGAAGCTGCTTCCTCCCCTTCCATCTGCAGAATCTTTATTCAATCTGCCTCTGACTTTCAGCCTTGCTAGGGAAGCTGCTTTCCCCTTCTCTCTGCTTGAATCTTTATTTGGGAATCTGCCTCTGCTTGCTGAGCTTTGCTTTTAGCTTCCATCTCTGCTTGCTTGCTCTCTGCTTGCTGAGCTTTGCTTTTAGCTTCCATCTCTGCTTCTGCTTGCTGAGCTTCATCTCTGCTTGCTGAGCTATCTTGCGTGCTTCTACCTCTGCTTCTTTCTGGTAAAAAAGCTTTGCGCCTTTTTTGATTCAGCATCAGCGCGGGCCTCTATTAGCTTATCGCTTAACGTCGAACTTCTGGAGCGAGAGGATCTAGAAGAAAGTGCAGTGCGCTTGGTTGAGGTGGATCTGTGAGATCTGGTCTCCTGCAGTTGAGTAATGCGGAGTTCTGCTTTAAACTTAGCATTTTGCACTGCAAGATCCCTTTGTTGGTTTAGTGCATCAGTCCTGGTCAGTTCTGCTGAAGAATCCTCTATATTAGAGTCCTGCAAGAAAGCTGAGTATTTTACAGACAGCCGCTGGTAGCGTTCATACGCAGCAGATAGGCGATTTATAGAGTCTCTTAATTCAGCTGGTTGATCATTAAAGTGTGACAAAACTGACATGCATTGTGAAGTTCGGTCCCAGAGGTCTGACAGATTACTGGAGAACTCATCTCTAGTGGCTTCATAGTTTTCCCTGAGTTTCTGTGTCGGTTTTATTGTACGTTTGGGTTTTACGCTCTGTGTTCGGGAATGTCTGCAGAATCTGCTCCCTGTACATCTGCTGGTTCAGAGGAATGATGTATCTGCGTTGGTTCGGCCATAAAGGAGTGTTCAGAGCCTTGTCTAGACATTTTTTACTGTTCTGCAAAAATTGGTACTGTCTCTTTAAGAAGACGAACAGCAGCTTAGACAGGTGGGGTAACACAGTTCAATGCAGAGAAACAGTTTCAATATTCACATGAAGTGCAGTAAGCTTGTGCGGCCATGTGCTTTGCAAGATGGCGGATGGCACTGAGCTTGATTGCAGATTAGGCACACACATATACACAGCAGGCTGTAGGGATTCTATGCATCTTTTGACTATTCTGACTCAGATTGTTGTGATAGCGATTTATCCCTTGTGAGACCTCTCTGCCTAGCCTGTATAAGCAGATATAATCACTGTGGACAATCCTTATCAGATAGCTTGAACTCACCAATACTGTGTTCATCCAGAAGTTGCTTTATTCTGTACATGTGACAACAGGATACAGCAGAATGAATGGTTTCCAGTATTATGCGGTCAAAAGATGATACTTTTTCTGTAGCGTACTATGCAGAATACATGTGTCCCTGTTACATGTGGTCTGTTAGCTGCATCCATGACACAGGAAGTGATGTACTCAAGAAGAAGGGAGGAGCTTCATATGCACAGGAATTGTGTCATAGATCTCAGGGAGGCAACATGAAGAACAAAATAAGGCCACTGGATGGCAGCATATAACTAACTATAGAAACATCCATAGGAAATGGTACAAAAAATAAACTATATGAATTCTCATGTACATTAACAGAAATATTAACTGTGTAACAGCATAACAATATTTACAGAAAAAAATGTAGCGCATAGATAGATATATATATATATATAGTTACACACACACACAAATAACACAGCAAAGAGATAACAGGAGTTTAGAGAGGTAAAGTACTTGCCGTCAGCCTTGGTTTAAGCAGCGTTCAAGTGTCAGAGCAAAAGGGTACCGTTCTCCCAAAGTTGGTTTCGATTGTTAAAAGGGAGAATTCTTTAACGCTCTGCTCCAAGCATCACCGCCTTTCTAGGAACTCAGTAGGGTGTCTCCTTGAAGCAGAGAAACAATCGCCTCATTTGGGGGGGGTGTTGCACGCGGAGACCCAAGCTAGAACCAAAATCCCTCGCAGTTTGTCATGATCCATAACTTACCCTCGGTGTATGTAGCAGCTTTGCCACTAGTAGATTAATATGCAGAAGCATCTGCTGAACATCTAGATATTAAATATGACATACCTGCTTGGGACGGTTAAGGAGATATTTTCTGCTCTCCTGTAGATTTCAGCTAGGGGGTGTAATATATCAGCCGACTTGTATTAAAGTGACCGATCTGAATATATGCCTGGTTTCCTTTGTAAGTCCTCCATATCTCCAGATATAAAAGTATATGGAAAAGGGGATTTTTAAATGTGAGTCTGTTTTACAGCTAGCTGGAATGTCTTTGAAGCTCAGCGAAGGACAGGTTTATGGTTTTACGATCCTTTTCCAAGCAAGAGTCTCGCAGACATACGGGGGGGCCAGGCTAATTGGGGTTTATAGCCATGAAGCCCTCCCACTGTGCCTGATACTTGTGATCTCTGGCATCATACAGACCACATTCCTGAGGAAGGGGGGAAATTGGAGGGAAGCTGATTTGGGAGTAGAAATGATACAAGATGGAGGATCCTTAGCAAGATGGATGACCGCGTCCATGTCTGTAAGCACAATTGCTACAAGCGGAGCTGTCACCTCTCGTCAGGGCGGCAACATCTCTGACATGCTAGGTGGCAGGGTGGGGTCACGTGTCAAAAATTTCTGTGAGCATAAGGGTGGCAAAATGAGGGTCCGAAAACCCATTCTGGGTTTTTGCACATCCAAGTAACTAGATATCAGATCAAAAGTAATGATATATGAACATGTAACAATTTGCAGCATCCTACAAAAGAACATCAAAACAATGTGTAATATGCAAATGAGCAAGGTCTTTTCATCCCGGTTCCTATCTGACTCTCCTATCCCTTCGTGGAGATGGGGTATGCCAAATGGGAGAAACCTGAGGGGTAGAAGGTGGACGTTGAAGTGATGGGGCGTCTGCCAGGCCCAATTTGGCCAGGATTTCTCGGCCTTCGGGAAGGGATGTGGCTATGTATGTGCTCCCATTATGTGGAACGATCAGCTGAAAGGGATCCCATTTGTAAAGGCCCCATTTTATCTGATACGGGCTGAGAAATGGGCAGTTATGATTTCCTTCATTTTTCAACGTTTATCTAATGTAGCCAGAGAAACACTTGGAAATATTTGTAAAACCGAACCTTCAAAGGTACTCGTTGGGGTATTGTGAGCAGCTCTGAGTATGTCTTCTTTGGTCAGGAAATCCTTCATACGCAGAATAATGTCCCTAGGCGGTTTATCATTAGGTTTTGGGCGCAGGGCTCTATGAATGCGGTCACAAGCAAAGAACCTAGGGTCGTGGTCCGGAAGGAGAGACTTGAATAGCTTGGTTATGGCTTGTGAAAGGTCAGACACTGACTCCGTGATTCCCCTGACTTGCAAATTATTCCTGCAGTTGCGATTTGTTAAGATCCCCAACCTGTGCCTGCAATTGTGCAAAGGCCGTTTGTGAATGATCGTGATCTCTGGAAATCATAGGCTAGGCTGAGTTAATCATGTTTGGTTTCTAAGCGGTCGGTTCTGGAGCCCAATGTGGCTATTTCCTGAGAGAACATTTTGTGCTCTTGTGGAGTTCTGATTGGAATTTAGCAGCTAGCTTGGTGTACATAGTTTCCAAGCAAGATTCCAAGTCCCCCTTTGTAAGTTGCTGTGCATACTCCCTGTCCTGAGCTAATGGATGAACTGTGGGATCGGATTGGGATGCTCGTTCTGTATTGTCTTGAGACGTGCTGCAAATCTCGTGTGTTTTAAGTAGGTATGTTGTAAGGGACTTTTGATCTTGTCCCCTACTTTTTTTTTTTTTTTTCTTGGACGGCATACAGAAGTCTCCTGGGGGTGATCAGCTGAAAATTGGATAGCCAAGGAAGATAACCCCAGAAAACCTAGACCGCCCGAAATGGGTGTAAGGTTATAGTTGCATAGATGCGACCAGGCTTTTCAGCGAAATCTTTATATTGTAAAAATGATTGTCAAAACCGTGGAGATGCAAAGTGGACATAAGCTGTGGTAGGCACCATTAACAAGGTTAAAGACCCAGATGCTGGCTCTGACTTCCACCACAGGGTCTGACAGTGTCGAGGAGCCTGGAATGTATGATTTTCAGTACATTTTTTCTTTTTACCATTTGATAAGCAATATGAAATTTTGAATCAATAAATTATTTATTTCAGGAATTTATGCCTTATTTGTCTGGATCGTGTGTTCATCTGCATCGTTTATATCTTCAAATATATAGGTAAGATTCTTTTTATACAGCTAAAGCAAATACTCAGTTTCAGCTTTGGTGTGGTGTTGTTGCCACAGCTTTCAGCTGGCCATGCATGGATGTTGTGTGGGGTTTTTTTTCTCCCCTTCCTCAACATTCCTTTTCAAGAGAAGCCGATCATTAAATCAACTTCTTTTGAGCAGGAACAGCTAATGATGGATCAGATTTCATCTGGTTCCTGAATGTTGTAAAGCGCTGCACAAACTGTAAGCGATATATAAATCCTGTATAGTAATAATGAATGGCTGATTGTTGATCCCTCTATCGCCAGAATAACTCTGCAAAGAAAGGCAGTAGTAAGCATTAGCATACTTCATTAACCATAGCCGAATGACTGTTACAGCGCTGTTGTCCAGTTCTGGGAGGGCGTCTTATTACATCCTCCCAGAACGCACCCTCCCATGCGCCTCCAGCATTTCCCCACTGTGCCACCTCATTAGTGTCCATCAATGCTGCCTCAACGCACATCAGTGAAGGAGAAAAATTACCTGTTTGCAAACTTTTATAATAAAAACGAAAAAAAAATTTTTTTTTTTTTTTTTTTTTCAAATCTTTTTTTTTTTGTTTATACTGCAAAAAAGAAAAACACCCAGTGGCAATTTAAATATCACGAAAAGAAAGCTCTATTCGTGTGAAAAAAAAATGCCATATGGGTACAGTGTTGAATGACTGCGCAATTGTCATTCAAAGTGTGAGCACTGAAAGATGAAAATTGGCCTGGGCAGGAAGGGGGTAAAAGTGCCCGGTAGGCAAGTGGTTAAGATGATCCACACAACCGCTGCTCCTCTTAAAATCTAGCATTTATTTTGAAAGCCACAGTGTGCAATTTTCAAATACAGTGAGTTGATGCGTTTCAGCATATATGGTATGACTAAAATCATGTAGGCTGAAACGCATCAACTCACTGTATTCATAAATTGCACACTGTGGCTTTCAAAATAAATGCTAGATTTTAAGAGCAGCAGCGGTTGTGCAATCATTTTAATGGAGTATCACTTACAGATGAGCAACTGTGGATCGGATACCGGTAAGCTCTTTTGATTTGGGATTGAATAGGTAGCAGCACCAATATTTGTTATATGCTAAGCATTAGCATACCTGTTTAACAGAGGAGCAGTTCTGTTACCTTCTGTCGGTGTGCTATCTACAGTCATGGCCAAAAATATTGACACCCCTGTATTTCTGTAAGTTAATTGTTGCAATTATAAATGTTTAAGCATTCTCATGCTTTTTTTCTCTTTTTTTTTGTTTGTATTTGTATGACACAAAACAAGTGGAGAAACAAAAAGCCGAATCTGACACATTCATCGGTGACCTGGTTATCAGTGCAGCATATCAGCGCCCATTAGTGAAGAAGAAAAATTGCTTATTTGCAAAATGTTATAACCAAAACAGAGTGTTTTTTTTTTTTTTTTTTTTTTTTTTTTTTATCAGTCTTTCTTTGTTTAGCAAAACATAAAACAGTGGTGATTTAAATACCACCAAAAGAAAGCTATATCTGTCTCAAAAAAATGATACAAATGGGTAATTTGGGTACAATGTTGCATGACCGAGTAATTGTCATTCAAAGTGTGACTGCACTGAAAGCTGAAAATTGGCCTGGGCAGCAAGGGGGTGAAAGTGACCTCTACTGAAATAGTTAAAGTAATACTAAAAGCATAATTTTTATTTTTTAAAAGATAACACATGTAATACCTACCTGCTCTGTGCAATGGTTTTGCACTGAGCAGCCCCATTCCTCTTCTCTGATTCCCCTCTGGCACCCCTGGCTCCTCCCCCTGCTAAGTGTCCATGTGTGTTTGCTCCAGAGCCCACAAAATGGACACACAGAGCAGGGCTCAGCCTTCCCCCCCCACCCCCCCACTGACTGTTTTTGACAGTAGCTAGAGCCAGTTGCTCCTACTGCTGTTGAGTCAGTGAGGAGGGAGAGAGAGCCAGGGAGAGCTTCTCCTGTCATGTGCAGCACTAAATTGATCGGCCTTAGGTTAGTTTTTAAGGAAGCCTGAGCAGGATGTGGAGGCTGCACACAGAAGGTTTTTTACCTTAATTCAGAGAATGCAAGAAGATAAAAAAAATCTTCAGCCTTTAGAGTGACTCTAACTCTGCCTTTTGCTCTTCAACTTTTGCTTTTGTCTGTAAATCCCTTAACTGGATTCTAATGTCTAATTTTTTTTATTTCAGTTCAGGCATTTAACTCTAACTTTCAATGCTCTCTGCATTCTAGCTCCTCCACATATTTCTTTATCAGTTTTCAAATATCTGCTTTGTCTTGCATCCAAGCTTTTTACAAGCTTCTCCCCTTCTCTAGAATTCTATTTCACACACAAATTGTTACTTTCCAGTCCTTGGATCCTTCAAAATACCCTTAAAATCCACCTCCTTTAACTACTTCAGTTCTTTCAACAGTAGTAGCCATCTGCTTGTGTTCATTTTCCTCAGGTGGCACCTGGTTGTTAAGTGAAAGTGATTGGGCGGCTGTCACTGAATGAAACCGGAATCGATAATATTGTCACTTCTGGTTTCAGATATAGAAACAACCAGGGAAGCTTCTAACCGAACAGATCTGTGATTGGTTAGATGCTTTGAAGGGCACGTTGGACTTTAGACTCCCAATATTTCCATAGAGTACCTACCACCTTCCCAATACTATCACATGGGAGTTTAACCCCGTGTGACAGCAGTAAAAAAAAAGTTAAAATAAAATTATAATTTTTTAAAAACAAAATGTAACCCCCCACATACACCCAAAAATGCAAACGCGCACTTAGGATGGGCATATGTAAACTGATTACACGTGAAATATTACCATTAACATCGTCATAAAAGCATTAATTCCAATGCCATAGCTCGGTTAACTCTAAACTAATGAGTAGTAAAGGCTTTTAAAACCTTACCTATGGAGATTTTTGGGTAACATTGTTTTTTACGATATCACAGGAGCATGCAATTTTAGGAGTTGGCATGTTTGGTATCTATTTACTCAATGCAACCCTATTTTTTTATGTTACCAAAAATGTGGGTATTCTGTTGTGTTTATGTGTAATAAAATAATTTTTATTTTCCTGAAAATGTGTTTTGATAAAAACACAAAAAAATTGCAGCTCTTTATTCTAAAAGAGCTTTGCTTTCAGAAAAATATATAATGTTCTGTGGGTTTTTAGTATTTAATGGCCAGAAATGCAGATTTTTACAGGTGTGTAAACAATGAAAAATGATCTTCCCCTTCCACCTCAGAGGCACACACTGTCAGCTGACTCATTCCTCCAGTTCCTGTTTCCATCCTTTATTCTTCTAATTTGTAATTGTGAATGAGCAGGAATCTTTTGCTATATACTGATGTGTACTTAACTTTTGAATATTTTTATGTAAAATATGACCTTGTAGTATTCCCTATTACAGTGCTATACAAGATGATGGCACAATGTGAATTAGTATTATTTTAGTAAGATTTTGATTTGCAAAAATAAAAATATTGCCTGCAAATATTTTAGTAGTGACATAGGAGTTGGTGGGGAAAACCACTGAGGGCATTGGGACATACAGGAGACTCTGTTTGTCTTTCTGTCTGTCCTGGAAGGGTTTATTTTTTTTAAGAATCTCAGGAGATGATTCCATTTAATCATAATGGCATTCAACAACAAAGGCAGTGGGAGTTACAAGTATTTACAATCTTCTTTACAAGTAAGTATTTTTTAAGCCATTGAGTTGCTTTAACCACTTGCCTACAGGGCATTTATGCCCCCTTCCTGCCCAGGCCAGTTTTCAGCTTTCAGCGCTGTCGCACTTTGAATGACAATTGCGCGGTTATGCGACACTGTACCCATATGACATTTTTATAATTGTTTTGAGACGGAGCTTTCTTTTGGTGGCATTTAATCACATCTGGGTGTTTTTATTTTTTTTGCTAAACAAACCAAAAGCAACTGAAACATTTTGAGAAAAAAAAGTTTTTTCTTAGTTTTTGTTATAAAAATTTGTAAACAAGGGATTTTTCTCATTCACTGATGTGCTGTAATGAGGCTGCAGTGATGGGCACTGATAGGTGGCACTGGTGGGCATTGACAGGCATCACTGATGGGCACTGACAGGCAACACTCGTATAAGGCACTGCTAGGCAGCACTTTTTAGGCAGCACTGACTGGCACTGATAGTTGACACTGAAAGGCATCTCAGATGGGCACTGATGGGCACTGGCAGGTGGCATTGATGAGCACTGAGAGGTGGCATTGATGGACACTGACAGGTGGCACTGCTGGGGCTACACTGATCATCGGGGCACACTGATCATCAGTGCCCTGATGATCAGTGTACATGTCCGCTCCGAAGAATGCTGATTACCTGCTCTCCTCTCGAGCTGTCAGTGTGACAGCTTGTGAGGAGAGAAATGCCGACAACCGGAATTTCTCTATTTACATGCGATCAGCTGTGATTGAACACAGCTGATCACATGACCGAGCCGACATCTTCGGCTCTTTCTGTTGATTAGTGATCCACTGTGTCCGAGGGACACAGTGCACCACTGATCACTGCGCTGCGTGCTCCCGGATCTGCGTGTGTGCGGTTAGAGTGGGAGGACGTCCTCCCAGAACAAGAGAACCGTCTTGCACCCGTCATTACCTTATATGGCGGGCAGGAGGCGGTTAAGCAGTCTATATTTCATGGCCCCTCCCTGCCATTCAATGAGAAAATCAAACTAATGTCCCATTGCACATGGATAATTAAGTTTAATTTGCATTTCTTGGAAACATTAAAAAAAATCTTATTTTTCTTTCATAGCATGTTTCCACCAAGTCTATATGCTGTGCCTATTTCGGATGCTCATCAGGATGAGATTGCAAATGTATTTCTTGTGGCTTTAGATATTCTCATTGGCCAGCTTTTATCCTTCAGGCCATTTGTGGACTCCATGCTTAATGAATTCCAAGGTATGAATACTTGTTTTTTAAATGTTTGCCCACTCACAACGAAATGATCAGTCTAAAAATCGAATGGTAGGTGTATTGTAACACTGTGAGATAGAATAGCAACAAAAAATTCAAAAAATGCATGTCTAACAAATTATGCACTGATGTGCATGTTGATGAGGGAAATAAGTATTTGATCCCCTTCACAAAACATGACTTAGTACTTGGTGGCAAATGCCTTGTTGGCAATCAGAGGTCAGATGTTTCCTGGAGGGGGGGAGCTAACTTGGTGTCACTGACACCCCCAGTGACACCAATACAATGCTAGAAAAAAAAAAAGCACTGACACTGTACTAATGACACTGGGCAGGAAGGGGTTAATGTGAGGAGCGATCAAAGAGTTAACTGTGTGCTGGGGAAGTTTTACTAGGGGGCCAGGGGGTTCTTCACTGTAATCAGGATGGCTGTACTGTGCACAGCCATCCTGAGCAGTGTGCTCGAGCTGACAGGAAGGAAGATTGTTTGTATACAAACAATCTTCCTCCCCGTCGGAGATGTTCGGTAATCACCGGGCACCAGAGGGTAATTACAAGCCGGTACCTGG